ACCTTGACAAAATTTTGAAGAAGTTCAAAATGTATCAAGCAAAGAAAGGATTCTTGCCTGTGTTACAAGGTGTGAAGTTGAGTAAGACTCAATGCCCGACCACTGCAGAAGATAGAGAGAACATGAAAGATGTTCCCTATGCTTCAGCCATAGGCTCTATCATGTATGCAATGCTGTGTACCAGACCTGATGTGTGCCTTGCTATAAGTTTAGCAGGGAGGTACCAAAGTAATCCAGGAGTGGATCACTGGACAGCGGTCAAGAACATCCTGAAGTACCTGAAAAGGACTAAGGATATGCTTCTCGTGTATGGAGGTGACGAAGAGCTCATCGTAAACGGTTACGTTGATGCAAGCTTTGACACTGATCCGGACGATTCTAAATCGCAAACCGGATACGTGTTTACATTAAACGGTGGAGCTGTCAGTTGGTGCAGTTCTAAACAAAGTGTCGTGGCGGGATCTACATGTGAAGCGGAGTACATAGCTGCTTCAGAAGCAGCAAACGAAGGAGTCTGGATGAAGGAGTTCATATCCGATCTAGGCGTCATACCTAGTGCATCGGGTCCAATGAAAATCTTTTGTGACAATACTGGTGCAATTGCCTTGGCAAAGGAATCCAGATTTCACAAGAGAACCAAACATATCAAGAGACGCTTCAATTCCATCCGGGATCTAGTCCAGGTGGGAGACATAGAGATTTGCAAGATACATACGGATCTGAATGTTGCAGACCCGTTGACTAAGCCTCTTCCACGAGCAAAACATGATCAGCACCAAAGCTCCATGGGTGTTAGAATCATTACTGTGTAATCTAGATTATTGACTCTAGTGCAAGTGGGAGACTGAAGGAAATATGCCCTAGAGGCAATAATAAAGTTATTATTTATTTCCTTATATCATGATAAATGTTTATTATTCATGCTAGAATTGTATTAACAAGAAACATAATACATGTGTGAATACATAGACAAACAGAGTGTCACTAGTATGCCTCTACTTGACTAGCTCGTTAATCAAAGATGGTTATGTTTCCTAACCATAGACAAATAAGTTGTCATTTGATTAACGAGATCACATCATTAGTTGAATGATCTGATTGACATGACCCATTCCATTAGCTTAGCACCCGATCGTTTAGTATGTTGCTATTGCTTTCTTCATGACTTATACATGTTCCTATAACTATGAGATTATGTAACTCCCGTGTGCCGGAGGAACACTTTGTGTGCTACCAAACGTCACAACGTAAATGGGTGATTATAAAGGTACTCTACAGGTGTCTCCAAAGGTACATGTTGGGTTGACGTATTTCGAGATTAGGATTTGTCACTCCAATCGTTGGAGAGGTATCTCTGGGCCCTCTTGGTAATGCACATCACATAAGCCTTGCAAGCATTACAACTAATACGTTAGTTGTGAGATGATGTATTACGGAACGAGTAAAGAGACTTGCCGGTAACGAGATTGAACTAGGTATTGGATACCGACGATCGAATCTCGGGCAAGTAACATACCGATGACAAAGGGAACAACGTATGTTGTTATGCGGTCTGACCGATAAAGATCTTCGTAGAATATGTAGGAGCCAATATGGGCATCTAGGTCCCGCTATTGGTTATTGACCGGAGACGTGTCTCGGTCATGTCTACATTGTTCTCGAACCGTAGGGTCCGCACGCTTAAAGTTACGATGACAGTTATTATGAGTTTATGCAATTTTGATGTACCGAAGTTTGTTCGGAGTCCCGAATGTGATCACGGACATGACGAGGAGTCTCGAAATGGTCGAGACATAAAGATTGATATATTGGACGGATATATTCGGACACCGTAATTGTTCCGGGTGATTTCGAAGAAAACCGGAGTGCCGGAGGGGTTACCGGAACCCCCCGGGGAAGTATTGGGCCTTAGTGGGCCTGAGGGGAGAGAGAGGGCTGCAGCCTAGGAGGTGCCCCCCCCATGGGGAGTCCGAATTGGACTAGGAGGGGGGGCGCAGCCCCCCTTTCCCTCTCCCTCTCCCTCTCTTTCCTTCCCCCTCTCTTTTCCTTGTTGGACTAGGAAAGGGGAGTCCTACTCCCACTAGGAGAAGGACTCCCCCCTCCCTTGGCGCACCCCATAGGGCCGGCCGGCCTCCCCTTGCTCCTTTATATACGGGGGCAGGGGGGCACCCCTATACACACAAGTTGATCTTCGTGATCGTTCCTTAGCCGTGTGCGGTGCCCCCCTCCACCATATTCCACCTCGGTCATATCGTTGCAGTGCTTAGGCGAAGCCCTACGCCGGTTGAACATCATCATCGTCACCATGCCGTCGTGCTGACAGAACTCTTCCCCGACGCTTTGCTGGATCGGAGCCCGGGGAACGTCATCGAGCTGTACGTGTGCTAAGAACTCGGAGGCGCCGGAGTAACGGTGCTTGGATCGGTCGGTTCGGGAAGACGTACGACTACTTCCTCTACGTTGTGTCAACACTTCCGTTGTTGATCTACAAGGGTACGTAGATCATACTCTCCCCTCTCGTTGCTATGCATCACCATGATCTTGCGTGTACGTAGGAATTTTTTTGAAATTACTACGTTCCCCAACAATCTATACTGCCTAGCTGCTATTAGTCGTTGTGCTTTCACTTCATTGAATACTTGACTATGGCTTGCTTAGGGTAGTCTACCTTCCGCTGCATGATAATAGGTTCATTACTATCATTTGTCTTCGAAACTTCCATGTTTTGAAGACTTTCATAAAAATCGTCTATTCACCCCCCCTCTAGTCGATCACTAGCACTTTCACCACCATCATATTGGAAGCAGTGTCATTACATGACCTGTGAATTTGGCATACTTTCTTTGAAATGTCAGGTTCTCACAACGACATCAACGTGCTTCAATGCTCTCCCGTGTCAAAAGGCTTTGTAATGGGGAATCGCCACCGTGCAACTACACTGTTAACGCTCGTGACTACAACATGGGATACTATCTTGCCCTTGGCATCTATCCTCAGTGAGTGGTGTTTGTGTAGATCATATCCGAACCACAAGGCAACAAAGAAAGCCACCTTGCAACAATGCAAAAAGCAGTTAGGAAGGATGTGGAGAGGGCATTCGGAGTGCTTCAAGCTTGTTGTGGAATTGTTCGTGGAGTTGCAATGATATGGGAATCAGAAACTTTGTGGCTGTTGATGACATGTTGTGTTATTCTGCATAATATGATTGTCGAGGATGAGGATGATGGTGTAGCCCAAACCAATGATTCTGAAGCGTGTGGGGAACAAGTTCATATCCTAGAAAATCAAGACCCAAATAAGCTTATGAACTTTCTGCAGATGCATCAGAATCTCCGAGATCATCAGTGCACATACAGCTACTCAGTGATATTGTGAAGCATATGTGGACCCACAATGAAAACCAAAGAGCTAATGTTTGAGTTGTGCACTTAAAACAAAATCAATATAAGAAGTATGTATTTTCGGTATCAACATTTCTTATTTACGTGCAACATTGGCGTGTATGATGGACGTGCATGGATTTGCACGTATTTAAGGGTCTGGATTTTAGATATTTGGATGCCGGGCATGACATATGAGGGGTCGTTCGGCTGCGTCCATGGAAGTATAGGAGGCCGGATTTGCCAAGTCCGATCGTAGAGGCTCTTAGGTCTGCCATCGAGCCACATATGTGAAGGCAACTTCTTGCTTCTCCAGGTGCTTTTATAGAAGCAATAATATCAAGGAAACAAGTTATAACGAGATATATTCATGGTGGCCATGCTAACCTCCAAAGTGCAAAAAGTTGAACTCCCCCTAGTTAACTAAAAAATCGACCAATAAACCTAGCATCGAAATAAGCCACCCCATTCTCGAAAACCAACTTACTGCAAAGTCTGCAAACCGACATCTAGCTATACCATAAGATCGAGAACATATGTTAACGTGGTTATTAAAAAAAGGTACCATGTCATTGTGAGATGAAAACAAGACATTCTTTATGAAGATAAAGGCAGATAAAAAATAAATCACTATAACATGGAAAGTCAAGTCTCTCTATTTATAGAGCTTAAATCCTAGTAACACCAAGAATATCGAACCTGTCATGAAAACCTCTCTAATTCCAGAGCAGGAAACTCGGATGCATCCCTGACAATGACATGGTGGTGGGAGGTAGCTTCCGCGAAGCCCGTAAGGGAAGGAGAGATGATTTTCATGTAAAAAAACGAAGTTACATCCAAACACATCCAGTGTCTCTCCATCACGAATTCACGAGTAGGATGGTTCAGACGGATCGCGAAGGAGACATTACAGCACGTAATTGCGACAAATCATGGGGTGGAGAACGCAAAGACACGCCCGCCCGTCCGTCTCAGAGAACCAGCTCGGGTTGGACGGCAGCAGTGGGCAGTGCGACCCTTTGGGAGGTAGTTTCGCACGCCCTCCGGAGCCACTGCCGCCCGGGCCCATGCCGTGTTGAGACTGCCTTCTATTTTCTGAACCCACCTCTCCTTTCTCGCCATCTTGACCTCCCCCGGGCGCCCAGCGCCTCCCCCCTCCTGTCCTCCGCCTCCCCGGACGCAGCCGGAGTGATCCCCCGCGCAGCGCAGCGAGCAGGAGCCGCCGCCGTCGCCGCCGGGACGACCGGTTTGGAGGTGCCCTCCCTCCCTGCCCCTCCCCCTCCGCTTTCGTCGTTTCCATTTTGGGGGATTTTTGTTGGGTTTTGGGGGGTTTGGGAGAGGGAGCTCTCGCCCGTTTACGAAATCTAGCGCTGGGTCGGTCGGATCTACGGGCCCCGGCCTAGTCCTTCCTCGCTGTTGCTGCGTGAGTTGGTCCATCTCATTATCTTGTACTACTAGTAGTAAGACTGATTTTCTGTCTCAGGGCGGAAGGATCGAACTCCGGAGACGAGAGGGGAGGGGGGGTTGTCCGTCGGCAACCAAGGGGCGGGTCGACTGTTCGACAGTCCGAGCTGTTTACTGGGCACTACCAACCCTTCCTGCCTGGTATCTGGGGGTTCCATGAACCAGGCTGTTGCGATGCAACATCTTGCAGAGCAGATATGCAGAGTGACGCTATGGGACAGGGGCGAGGTGTCTGCTGCTGCCAAGAACCTCCTCCGGTCCATCCAGCAGCCCCCCTACTCGATCCAGGCAGACACAGTCTGCTGTTACTCCCTCACGAGGTGCCACTCCGGAAGCAGCAGCCATGACGGCTATGCATCTAGTGACGGCGGCGGCACTCCAACTCCAACCAGAAGCAATGGGCGGCAGCTTCACTATCCGTCACATGCCCACATGGACCCTGGCCCTGTCCGACTCATCCTGCCGGGCTCTTTGGCCCAGCTAGAGGACGTTATCCGCAACTGTCAACTGGCTTTTGGACCTGATTACAAACAAGTGCTACTCCAAGCATTCTCGGCCAACTCACATACATGGAGCAGGTAAACCCACAGCTTTATTACTAAAGATGGTAAATTTTGGCATCATGTATTCCCTTTTTTTTTTCTTCCCGCACACAAAATATATTCCTGTTTTCTTTACTGTTATGACATTGCAGCGAAATAACGAGTGCCAAATACTACCTCCGTCCGGAATTACTTGTCAATGATATGATTCTATATAGACGTATTTTAGTGCTAGATACATCCGTTTGAGTGACAAGTAATTCCAGTCCAAGATAGTAGTAAATAGCCCAAAGGAAGTTTGAGTACTCTCTCCGTCCAGGGCTGATCGTAATGGGGAGTATCATATACTCCCTCCGTCCGGAAATACTTGTCGTAGGAATGGATGTATCTAGATGTATTTTAGTTCTAGATACATCCGTATTTATCCATTTCTCCGACAAGTATTTCCGGACAGAGGGGGTACTAGTATCATGCATATGATACTAGTGTATGATACTACTTCCGTAATGCATAGTATCATAAGTTGTATCTACGGATGCCTTATTAATTGGCATGCATGGTAGAAAGTAGCACAACATTTAATATGATACGGTATCATATTATGATACCACATCCTCTCTTTCCTCATTTAATTGTGTGTCACATCATTCAAAAAGTCTAGTTGGCACGCATGATATCACTTATGATACTTCTATTACGACCAGCTTAGGCCCGTGAGCAGCATAATAAGAGCATCGTTAATAATATAACCAACAATTGGCTATATAAACATGACATGTCATCAAGAGTTAGCATTATTAATTACTCATACAATAAGGTTGGCTACAAGGGTAGAACTTTTTTAACTTCCTCTCTCTCTCTCTTTCCTCACATTAAATGCTTCTATCTCGGAACTCGTGTAGAGGTTGGCTCTTGCATGTTAGCCCACTTCATCACTTTTTTCTTGTCTCTTTTCTCCACATAGGCAAAAGTGAGACTGGCTCTTGCTGCTGGTTCGGCAAAAGTGAGACTGGCCCACTCCACCACTCCATCACTCATATTGTCTTGGGATATGTGATGTTACGGTAACTAGCTAAGTTACTCAATTTACTCCTCTCTCATTAACTCATTGCCACATAGACAAATTTGCTGAGTTGGACCCGATGTTACTCTTGAAGTTACTCCCACTATGGCCAGTCTTATAGCCCACTATTGTACTTGCTCTAAGCATGTCCCTTCCTATTAGGCCCCATAATTAAGTCGCGTTGGAAACACATATTTTCCCTTGGTCTTCCTTCTGTTCCTGCGCTGGATGGATATTTAACGGCAGTGAAATCCATAGCATATAAATCTGCCCAGCATGCAGCCAATGCATACGCAGCATGCATGTCCAGGAGCAGCCGCTGTAGTTAATTACCGAAGTCAAACCGTTCTCGCACTTTAATTTGATGTGAAATACGAGATTTTTAAGGGGACTACTCTGTGTACCTTGGTTCTAGTGTTTTGGTTTTGGGCCCAATAAACCCGGACGGAGCGAGTACATAGATAGAATAGACTGGGACTGCCATTGTACAATACAGCTTAAAAGCACAGAATAACAGTCTACATAGATTCGCTAGAAATTTCCAATATATGCTTTCCCATGTTCCTTCAGTGAAGACATTTCTCTTGTTGAATCATCCTTTGTTTTGAATTTTTGCTCTGCACTGTTTGCCGCTATAATATATTGACATTTTGTGCATTTTCTTTCCAAATCTCTTTCATGCTTGTATTAATTGGACCATGCCAATGTATTGTACTAGCTGTGCTTCTCTGTGGCCCAACGGATCACATATCCCTCAGTCAGTAGAGTACTTACGATTTTGCCCTGAAGTTAAAAATACCAAGCTCTGTATTCTCGTTATGACCACGCATCACTGACCTTTTAGTGATTATATATATCTTTTCCTCTTTCGAAACTCCCAAATAAATCATCTGAACTCTTGGGAAAGGTAATACTCAAACTAGAAATTATGTTTCCAAAGCAACTAGCACGGTGCCCCATGCAAATACGCGGATAACATCTGATTAGTGCATTTCACCTTTTTGATATAAGGTTACATACGCTTAATATGCTATTTGAAAATGACATGGTTTTGTTAAAGCCACTAAAAGTTCTTTGTTTTATAAAATGAACTATAATAGTGAAAGGAAATTATTAGTTCTCAGTTTCAATGTATGTATTTCTTCTGCTTCACTCTATATCCTTAGCGTACCATACCAAATTAAGAGAGCACTGAATTTGTAGAACTTAAATGAGAAATTATCATACATACATGTACTCAAACAGAATACAACTTAAACCTTTTCAAATAATCTCAATGGGCTGTATGCAGCTATCATGCA